CCCCCAAAAAAAAAAAAAAAAATAAATAGTATTGGTAATTATTTAGGACATTACCGGTCCTGAATCCTTGTATGCACCTTCCATCTTATTACAGCTTGATTGTGTAGGGTTGATTAGCCTGCTACAACGGTTGCTCCGCTTAAAGTGCCACTATGCCTCAACAGTGAGGCTTCCGACATCATGCTTGCCTAGGGTTTCTCCCCTCACAAGAAAATCTTGTATGGGTCTGTGTCAGAATCTTTTTGGCTCCTGGCAGGTTCAGTTCTCAGCGTGTTTGGGCCTTGTGGGGTTGGGGGGGTGCAGAGCTGCGGATGTAGGTTAGCGATCTAAAACACTAAACCCTAAACCCTAAATCTGAGCCTAAATCCCTCAGGCCCTAAACCCTGAACCCTAAACCCTAAAGCCTCAACCCTAAACCCTAATCCCTAACTCCCAAAACTTCCCACTCAGGAAGCTTTCTGGCGAAAGGGTGCTCCCATTGGTGCGGACATCCGATGCCCACGCGATGGAAGACCGGGCTGTGCGTTGGTGGACTGGCTTCCGCCCTCTGAGAGGCATCGATTACAAGTAAAGTTTACTGTTGGAGTTTCGGGTTTATAGTGTATAGTTACATCAGTTGTACATGTATGTATGTATGTATGTATGTATGTATGTATGTATGTATGTATGTATGTATGTATGTATGTATGTGTATATATATATATATAGAGTGTAGCGGTCTGTGTGTATATATATATATATTATTTATCTATTTATGTAATTACTCATTGATCAATATTGTAAAGGGGTTATTATTCATGGCTTGGGTTTCTTGAATGGAGTTGAAGGGTTCTGTTTAAATTAGAGTTTAGGGATTCGCCCAGAGGAGAGCGCAGACGCATTATTTGTCGTGGACGTGGCTGTGCCCAGGCTCCATGCTGCGACTTCCGTTTATTTGTTGTTTAGGGCTCACGGTTTAGAGTTTAGGGTTGAATTACGGCTTATAAGGGCTTAAGGTCTAGGATTTAAGGTTTAGGGTTTTAGGGTTCGGGGTTTAAGGTTTTTCAGGTATTTGTCCAGTTGGTGGCATGAGGAGGTTTTGGTTGGTAATCTATTCAAGCAGTCATGTTATGTATACACGGAGGGAGAAATCGCAAGACTCTGCGACTCAGTCTGCGCGAAGGTACAGCTTGCACGAGGTCCGCAGCTCTTTGGACACCTTTGCCGGCAGCATCGGGGAAAGCCATCAAGTCTTCTTCTACATGTGCTTCTTCGTGAACAACCACTTCAGAACACTGGTAGATGGCGACATTTCTGGCAGTCAGGACACTCGTAGATTGGCATGCCAATAGTTCATCATGGGGTTAATCGCATTACCTCTACCTTTAGTTTCGTTTCGTCGTATTTTGTTGAGACAAGTTCCTGGTCATAAGATACATGTTTACTGCTTTTAAACCCAAAAAACCCTACACCCTATTAACCCTAAACCGTCTCTTGTCCAACTCGAACGCGACCTGGCGAAAGACGCTCGTCGCAGAGTCCTCTCAGGCTTTCGAGTTCGAGCTTCACGGTTCGAGGCTTTCTGGTGGTTTATAGGGTTTAGGGGTTTAGGGTTTAGGATGTATATGGGTTTAGGAGTTTAGGGTTTCGGCTTCAGGGTTTTGTGTTTAGGGCTTGGTTTTTGTCTTTAACTTGGGGTTGCTGTCCCGCCAGGACCCGGAGCAAGCTGTGAAGCCGAATCTGACCCAAGCGCGCGGTATGCTGGCAGTGCTGAGCAGCTGGCATACTCCAGTGTACTTCACGCGGCTTCTGAGACCAGATTCGTTACGGGTAGTCTCTAAATTAGGGTCCCTTTTCGGCTCATATCTATAAGGGTGCCGTACTATATTGAGGACCTAAAAAGGGAGGTTAGGGTTTAGGGTTCAGGGTTTAGGGTTTAGGGCCCTCTAAAATCCGAGGATTGGGTCGCTTCCCCATTGAAAAGCGTGACAGCGCAAGCATACCATGGGCAATCCGCAACTAGTTGCTATGGCCTTAGGTTTAGGGACTCCTGAACCACTGTGTGGTTCTAGCCTTTCCGCATCTTAAATCCCAACACCCCGCTCCAATATTCCCCACACCCCGAAGCATGCAGCCAACTCACCTCAACGTTGAGGTTGTGGACTATCTATGAGCAGACCGCCGCCTTTAGCATGGGTGTCCCTGTGACGTTTGTCATGACGCCGTCTGCGACGGCCTTCCATGCTGCAGTTTGATTTGCTTTGGCCTTCGGATGTGGAGCCGTAAGCCGTAAACCTTGATGTTTCAGAATGTAGTTGGGTTTGGCCTCAGTTTGAGAAGTAATATATACCCTCAAACCCAACCCAAATGTAAAGTCCTCCATATTATCGCAGGGGTGGCAGTTCAGATGGCTCGAAGCCTTATAACCCTAAGCCCCAAAGCTGTGCCCATTGGCTCTGCTGGGGCCTTTGGACGGACAGGCTTGGGGCTTCGAATTTTGGCTTCAGGATTTAATATAATAGGGGCCGAAATAATTACCAATACTATTTTGGGGGTTCCTTCTTACAAGTATAGTAGAATGTACCCCAAAACCCTATTCGAATTATTAAGGCCCCTATATTGGGGCTTTGGGCCTGAACCCTTTAGGGTCTAGGGTTTAGGGTCTAAAGTGAACCTTCGAAAGCTGGAATGGATTTAGGAGGATTGGTGCCAGGGTTTCCTTATACTCTGATTCAAGGGCATGAGGAGAATCATGTTCCAACTTTCTGGCGTCTGCCCTAAAATTAAACCCCCTAAACCCTGAACCCTAAACCCTAAACCCCCTAAACCCTTTGCTGGTTCGATTCTTCGGGTTTTGTCTTTCAACAGCTCCTGCTGACTTGGCCGTAATGACCGAGCTCGTAAGCTCGGAAGTTGCTGAGGGTTTTAGGGTTTAGGGGGTTTAGGGGTTAGGGTTTAGGGCGTCAGGGTTCAGAGTTTAGGGCTTAGGGTTTAGGGTTCAGGGTTTTGGGTTTTGGGGTTCAGGGTTCAGGGTTTAGGGTTCAGGGTTCAGGGTTTAGGGTTCAGGGTTTAGGTTTAGGCTTAGGGTTCAGGGTTTATGGCTTTGGGGTTTAGGGTTTCAGGTCTAG